ATTAGTTTCCAGTTATCAAAGCATAGTTTAGAGCCCTGCATACAAGTACGCCAATTCTGTTCCAGAAACATTTATAAAATTCTGCTGAAACTTCAGATGAGCCTGAACTTTTATTATCTTCATATTCTTTAAAACGGTAGACGCTTCTTCTAGTCTAATTTTACACTCATAAAACAATTTAGACTCTGTATTGATATCTGTGAATGTTTATATCTTTAACAAAGGTTAAAAACGTAATATCTTCTTACTCATGTGAAGTACACATATTTAATGATTTAAAAAGTAATAAAATATGCAGATACATTTGAGATTTCTTCTTTTTACGTTATTACAGTACCATCATTTCTCATGATTTTTTTTGTGATACATTTATTCACATAACTGCTTTTTGTCAAGATTACTATATTTTTTCCATCAATTTCCCAGTCAACTGTTGATCTCAAAATGTAACCTTTAAACTTATTTTCTTGTATAATATTCAATTCGTTATGCAGCTGAATTTTTCATTTTTTAAAAATTAATTCTGATTTTCTCACTAATATATGAAATATCTCTAATTGTTGTGTTTCCAGAGCCCTTTACCATGCTTAAAATGACTTATTTTAATTGCATTATTAGTATTGAATGGTCAGACTGAAAACTATGTTAGATGAAAACATTTTCAAAGTTTTGTAACGTATAAGAAGGTAAAAGAAGGAAATTGAGTCTTGGTTGTTGCAGTGGGTTTTCCTTACGCCAAGCATATCGCTTTTTATTAGGCTGAAGTTCGACATTTTTCTTCCATTTGTTTCAATAGAGGTAATCTTGCATTTTTATTAATACTTTTTTTAGTTATAATAATCTAAATCAGGATTTTGCACCAAATTGAAATCACAACAAAGGCAATACGTGTCATTTCTTATGTTCTCAACGATCTTGAAAATGTTTGGCCAATATAATGATACTAAAGTAAATTTTATTTCTCCAACAGATAAGTCCAGTATGACATAATCCAAAATCATCAGCTATACGTTTATGTATTTTGTAATCTATTGATTTTGAAAAACATTTTGCAACTCCCCTAGAATTTGAAGATGAACGACTTAAAAAACATTCTTTATTCCACTGAGTATAAATGGTGTTAAATTAATTGTGTAGAAAATGTGTGTCAATATCAAATTTTGGTAGCTTTATGTACTGAAATAATAGCAGCCTTTTCTTAATACCCTGTGGGCCTCTGCAATTAAGAGATAGGGTATTTTATTCACTCATATTTTTTTTCAGTAAGACTAGTTGTTTGACAACAGAACTATAAAAAAAATTACATTCACATATTATATACATGCATACAATGTTTAGGCGGCTTATCCTAGCTTACAAAGCACTACAGTAGATAGAATAAAAATGTTGGCTTTAATAATTTCAGAAAGTTAAAGATCAATATTTTCATCCTCAATGAAAAATCGAAAAGGAACGAAAAGACTGAGAAAAAAATTGTAAGACTTCTTTCTTTTCAACGTTCATGGGAAAAGCGATATTTGAAAATACAATGAAAATTCAAAATTAAGTGAGTTCTCCGCAAAAAATTACTTCTTGATTTAATATAAAAAGAAAAGTGAAAGAAGTAAATTATAGGATCTTTTCATCATTGGTTAGCTATATCTTACGGGAAACAATATTTGATATGACACTTTAACTAAGATAAATAGCATTACATAGAGAGTCCATTTTACCAAAAGAATCATTAGTATCGATTCAATAATATGTTTATTTATGTAATGTCAGGCTATTTCCTTTTTCATGGTGAGACGAAAAATACTTGGTTATCAATGTATGTAAATTTCCTTTTTAGTTTATATATTATAAAATACTAAAGGTGTTACTCTGTGATATGATTATTCTTGCAAATATACAATAATGTTGCTTAGATAATAAAAAATATTAACAAAATCAACGCTATCTAGTTACCATCTTTTTGATAAAAAATGTAAAATATAATAGCATTTATTTATAATAATTAAACAGTCTCAATAGCTATCTTTTTAAAATCTATTCGACAGGTGGCAAATAATAATATGTAGTAAGAACATTAATAAACAAAAAGGTAGTGATGTTTAGTTTCCGTCTCTCGAAAAGTTACCTGACAAATAATGATAATATGTAGCCTTTGAAGTCTTTTAAAAAAGCTACTTGACATCTGACAAATAGAAAGTATTGACAATTTAATAATCTGTACTTTCCATCTCTTGAAAATATACTCGACAGGCTAATTCATGATAATATGTAACTTCCATCTCTTAAAAACAATCGATATTTAAAAAGCTACCCGACATATGATACAATCATTAAATTACCATCAATGTTGTTTATATATATATTTATATAAACATATAAAAACAACATTGATGGTCATTTAAAAAAACTACTCGTAATGTGACACAATGATTATATGTATATTCAACATTTAATAATCATTTAAAAAGTTATTCGGCAGGTGACACAATGGTTATATATGCATATACAACATTGATGGTCATTTAAAGAGCTCATTGACAGGTAACACAATGATTATATGTATAAACAACATTGATAGTCGTTTATCTAAAAAGCTTCCCGACAAGCGACACAATTATTATATATAACAAGAGCTGTCGGTAGGACAGCACGCTCGACTATTCTAAGTGCTTGATAGTAAAAGAGCTTTGATAATGTTAAATTTTTCAAGTTCACAAAAGGGCTAAATTTTTTTTATAAATTCATGTTATAGGCCTTAGAGAGGGTCTAATTATACAGTATTGGCTTGACTATTCGGAAGGAAATGTCACAAGGGTGTTTTATTGAGTATAATAACATTAATTACCTATGAATACATAAATTTGACAGAAAAGGTACAAAGGCTTGTTATTAAGATGTTTTATCAAGTAAATCACTGCTTTATTATCATGAATGCATAAAATTGTCCTAAAAAAGGCACAAACCCTTTAGTAGTTGTTGATATAACAGCTTACAAGCAAAATTTTACCATGAATTTCTAAGTTGAAAAAAGGAAAAAAAAATCCGCCTAAATGCAAGATAGAATTATGGATCTTTGTCAGTGACCTACAATTATGACCCTAAATCATATGTGAAGTTTTAAATAAATATCTTTAAAAGTTATTGAGATATGTAAAACTTGCATGTAAACATTAACCAAGAGACTAAGTAGAAAAGGGGATATGAATCAGCCTTAATGCAAGATAGAGTTATGGAACTTGGTCAGTGACATACAATTATGACCTTCCAATTATGACCCTAAGTGCATGTGTAAAGTTTCAAGTAAATATCTTTGAAAACCTTTAACCTTTAACCAAATTTTTAAGTTTCAAAGGGGCAAATAATTCTGCAAATATTGCAGGCAGAGTTATGCAATTTTGCAAACGGATGTACATTGTTACTATAAAAAAGTATTTTAAATTTCAATTGAATATCTCAAGCAATAATTGAGATATTTGACTTTACAAAAAAAACTTTAACCAAAATTCTAAGTTCCAAAGGGGCATAATTTTGTCAATATTGTAGACAGAGTTATCCAACTTGTCAATCTGATGTACCTTGTTACTATAAATAAGTATTGTAAGTTTCAATTGAACATCTCAAGCAATAATAGAGATATTTGACTTTACAAAAAACTTTAACCAAAATTTCTAAGTTAAAAAGGGGCATAATTCTGTCAATATTGTAGGCAGAGTTATCCAACTTGTCAATCTGATGTACCTTGTTGCTATAAATAAGTATTGTAAGTTTCAATTGAATATCTCAAGCAATAATTGAGATATTTGACTTAAAAAAAAAACTTTAACCAAAATTTCTAAGTTAAAAAGGGGCATAATTTTGTCAATATTGTAGACAGAGTTATCCAACTTGTCAATCTGATGTACCTTGTTACTATTAATAAGTATTGTAAGTTTCAATTGAACATCTCAAGCAATAATAGAGATATTTGACTTTACAAAAAACTTTAACCAAAATTTCTAAGTTAAAAAGGGGCATAATTCTGTCAATATTGTAGGCAGAGTTATCCAACTTGTCAATCTGATGTACCTTGTTGCTATAAATAAGTATTGTAAGTTTCAATTGAATATCTCAAGCAATAATTGAGATATTTGACTTTACAAAAAACTTTAACCAAAATTTCTAAGTTAAAAAGGGGCATAATTCTGTCAATATTGTAGGCAGAGTTATCCAACTTGTCAATCTGATGTACCTTGTTACTATAAATAAGTATTGTAAGTTTCAATTGAATATCTCAAGTAATAATTCAGATATTTGACTTTACAAAAAACTTTAACCAACGCAGACGCCGACGCGGACGCTGACGCCGACGCCGACGCCGGGGCGACTACAACAGCTCTCATATTCTTCGAATAGTCGAGCTAAAAACAAGATATGATAGTAATTTAAAAAGCTCCTCGACAGATGGCACAATGATTATATATATGAACAACATTTGATAGTGATTTAAAAAGCTAATCAACAGGTGGCACAATGATTATATGTATAAAAACATTAAGTAGTCATTTAAAAGGCTACTCGGCAGGTGACAAAATGATTATATGTATAAACAACATTTAATAGTAAGTTAAAAAGCTACGCGACAGGTGACACAATAATTATATGTTTAAAAAACATTATGTCAAAGATACTCGACAGGTTAAAAAGGTATTGATGTGAAGTTTCCATCTATTTACAAGTTACTCGACAACTGACAAAATGATAGTATGTAAAAACAATATTGACATGCTTTTAATAAGCTACTTCACAGATGAAAAAAAGATAGAAAAGAATGAAGGGCACTCTGTTCAGAGACCCGTGAAAATACGGAATATGTTTCACTGCAGTGAAACATGATTTTTACAATGACACTATGGAAAATAAAAATTACGCATTTTATTTCATCAATAATTTTTTCATAATATATAAGTATATAATCAATTTATATATCTATTTTTCAAAACTTACAATAAAATTATACACTGGGAGATTGTAGATCTTTTCTACATTTTTTTATTGTTTTTTTTACGTATTAAGAAACAAAGATCTTCGTCGTTGTCATTCATTTAGTTTATTGTGTATATAGCACATCCCTCATAAGTAAAAAACGGTTAAAAGGAAATAACTTTAATCACGTAAAGATTCAATTGTTGTGCAAAACAATATATGAATTTTCACTGACTGCCGGGCAGACCGGAATATCTAGCTCGAGGGTAACTGTTTATGGCTGTAACGAGGCTCTGCTGAGTTTCAGCTAAACAGTTACTCGAGAGCTAAATATTCCCGTCTGCATCGACAGCCGTTGTTTGATTCTTTTCCTTGCATATTATATATCAATTATTTTCAGAACAGATATTAAGAAAATGGATATTCTCATTACGCACTTTTTTCTCATAGTAGCGTATGAACTTACAACTTCATTCATTACGGTTCAGTTACGTCATCCTAAGAACGCATTTCATCCATAAAAGGCTCGACGCAATGATGTTATTTAAAGAACGCAACTTGACTTACATGGGGGTGTAAGACAGGATGTTCTAGCACCGGTGTAAACGGTAGATAATCCTGTCTGATATGCAAGAATATGTTCTTCTATTAAAAAAAATGATGAGTGATGGATCATATTGCTGCGGCTGCATATAGCAATCTGATTTGGAAGACTGCGTAGGAGCCTGGGCTAGAGCTATGTGGCGTCCTTGATGTAGTCGGGTATCCTTGGATTTTTCTTATAGTCTGAGCATGGGTTTCATCCTCTTTCGGCCACGTGAAATTTTACCAAAAGCGGTAGCTTTGAAATTGTAATTGCGTACAAAATTTCACGTAAACCTCTACTTCAAACGACCACGCTTTTTTTACCTTTGTCCTGTCTTTTTCATGACACGATACCAAAACATTCGCGGGTATTTTTGTCAAATCTTCGTTGACAAAAATCTTATGTCCTTTCAGTTGCTTTGACCGTTTGAAGAGTTCGACTTTAGTTTGGCGTCTTACAAATCTAACTTTAACAAAAGCATATAAAAGTCAATGGCGGCTCAGTCATGTGTGACCACAAATTTTATCAGGTACGGTAGGTCCCAGACTACTACTGACTTTGCTATTTTTCGCTCACAAATCGTTCACAAAAAGTGTCTCTACCAATTCAATTTATTAAACACAATTCTAAAAGTTCAAAATAAGCTTTCAATCCAACATTCAAATTCAAACTAACATATTTTAATAAAGATCCATACCCTTTATGAATGTAACAGTAGCTTAATTGTACAAACCAAACATTTGATCGCTGTAAAAATCGTGAAAGCTTTTAGCCAAAATACAAATTGCTTTGTTTACATTTAATCGGAAGTTCTTTCTAAACATTACGCAAATGACTCACTTCAAAGTGTTATTACACTTATACATGGCTTTATTACACTCCTGCGCTGTCGTTTATGTAATGATTAAGCATTACCAATGTAAAAACATTCAAGAACCTTAAGCACGCACGAAATTTAATTCAATATTTGTCATTGAACCTGTCATATCTGAAGCTTGTCATTAATTTCCGCAAATGGCTAGAACAAGCTTAACTCTTTCCTAGTCCTCTGCTTCTTTCTTGGAGGTTTCGGTGGTAAACTAACTTGCGCTGTAATTATTTTCGCCGTGTCAGTAAAACCTGTCGTAAATCGGTTGATGTCGTCGCCAATGGTTGCCTTTTTGCGACACTTTTTAAGGGATTCAATCCTAGCTTGAAATCCCGGCCGTTTTTCAAGTTTCTCGCTTTCAATCAGTAGGTCGATATGTTCAACAACACTAAGGGGGTCTGGTCGAAAAGCTATCTTTTTCAGGATGTTGTTACAAGTATTGATTTTATCTATCAGCGCCATGATATCATCTTCAAGGTCGTACAACTCATCATACATTCTTTCTAAAACCTTTTTTCGCGTAATTGTTTCTCCTTCGGCCCGGCGGTACTTTTCAAGCTTCTCTGTATACGTCCTCTGTTTCTGTACTGTCACATACTCAAATATATAAGGAGTATTTCTGTGAATATTCCAGAAACAATGCTCCTGGCACTGTGTACAATTCCCATCTTCGTCCATTGCATTACATTTTTTCTTATCCTCGTCATTTGCATAAATGCAATCTCTGTGGCATGTCATATGACAAGTCAGGCAATTGGTTACATGTTTGCCTTTCGGAAGATCGATCTGCTTTTGTTCTGTTTCTGAAACAGTATACGTAAAGTCGCTGTTTTCCTCTATTTGAGTTTTGTAATTTTCTAATATCCTAATTTCTACACGCAGTTCTTCAATTTTATTCAGTCCAGCATCTAACTTTGGAAGCAAATTATTCATTGTTAATTCTATTTGTTCACGCTGCAAAAGAACATCTCTTGTCTGCCGAAGACTCTTTGTTTCCATATTAGTTAGCTTGCTGAAAAACATTTGAAAACTCTTGCACCCCATGTCCCAAAACATAGATGAAAAACACGAAACATTTTCTTCTATGTTCTTTTCGAAGAGACCTGAATTATTAAATGGAAAGAACTGCTCGTATGGTAGTTTTGCTGCTCTCAAAGCAGATAATACAGGAGGTCGTTTCCCATCCGCAAAAGTAACAAGCATGCAAATACTGTTTTCAATATCTTGACCGAACAGCGCCATTATAGCATTAAAGATGTACATCTGTGTGGGTGTTAGACGAGCATCGGGAGCTTTTGTAATGAAACAAACAGCGTTGATGTAAAGAACACCAGTGTCATCTTCACGAGAAAACAAGGTACGAATTTGATCAATAATTTCATTGTCTCGCTGAATTCCACGAGTATCTCCGAATCCGGGCGTGTCTATGATGTTTAAAGTGTAGTTCAACCGGCTACCATGCATCGGATGTATTGTATAGCATGTTATCCATTGAGTCTGCGAATGTGCCTGGAAATCAATTTTAAAATTGATAAAAAAGATCAATTCGCATGAAATGAAATAGAGAGAAATAAAGAATCCCTTAAGAATGTCAAAAAAGACAAAATAATGAATGTTGCAGGCTCGGTTTGATTGAGCCCGTTCATGAACGGTAATAAAAAGTGCAAGTCTGTGCCCACGCCCCCTTGCACTGTCCCAAGCAGAACCCAACATAAAATTATGGTGAAGGTAACATTTTGAATTTAGAAACATCTTGTGATATTTTCAAGCGGCAGTAATCATGGAACATGGAACAGTCATCATATGTGCAACTTGTAAATACTATTCTGTTAATGTTTTTAAGTTTATCATTGCATTCTTATTTAACTATAAACATATTTATTACCTGATCAGCATCTCTTTTCCTCTCTTCATCTTCAAGATCCACTAACGTTAGTCGGTACTGGTCATTCCAGTTTACACCAAATATGTAATTCACCATTCCATCAACTAATGTACTCTTCCCCGTTCCTGTCGCGCCTACAAGCATGATAGTTTTTTCAGCGAAATGAGTTTTGCTTGCTTCACCTGTAATGTATTGAATATTCTTTAAAATCACTTTGTCATGTGATCAGGTTATTATGCATGACTTCTGACCCAGTGAACTAAAATTAATAAGGGTTATCTACTGGTCATGACTAGTCACAAGGTAATAATTATTGTGACCCCAAAGGTTGTGTGCAGCAATTTAAGTTATTATAAATCTTACCAAATAAAATATGCATAAATTTTATGAATCATGTAGGCCTCATTAATGACAGCCATGTTGTTATATTCGAAGACCTTCAAATGTGTATACCAAAAGCATTTTTAGTTTAATATAAAAATATCAACCAAGGCAACTTGAGTTGTTGAGTTATTGGTCAGAAATCATCTCAAAGTACAAGATCAACTTGACACTGACCCCTTGACCCCAAAATCAATAGGGGTCATCTACTGGTCATGACCAATCATCATATAAAGTTTGAAGATCCTAGGCCTAAGTGTTCTTTAGTTATTGATCGGAAACCGTTTTTACATACAAGGTCAATGTGACCTTGACCTTTGACCATAAAATCAAAAGGGGTCATATTCTGGTCATGACCAATCATCATTTAAAGTTTGAAGTTCCTAGACCTAAGTGTTCTTTTGTTATTGATCGGAAACCGATTTTACTAACAAGGTCAATGTGACCTTGACCTTTGAACCCAAAATCAATAGGGGTCATCTACTGGTCATGACCAATCATCATTTAAAGTTTGAAGTTCCTAGACCTAAGTGTTCTTTTGTTATTGATCGGAAACCGATTTTACTAACAAGGTCAATGTGACCTTGACCTTTGAACCCAAAATCAATAGGGGTCATCTACTGGTCATGGCCAATCATCATACCAAGTTTGATGTTCCTAGGCCTAAAAGTCCTTTAGGTATAGAGTGGAAACCGTTTTCTCAGTGGTCGAGGGGTTAGAGTCGATGACTTCTAATCCAGTTACCTCTCTGGCGTGGGTTGGATCCCCGGGAGATGCTTTGGTAGTTTAGTGCGGAGGAAGGTAGTCTTGTACTGGTATAACTCTCCAGGAACGATGGTTAGGAAACTACCCGCCTATATGACAGAAATACTGTTGGAAAAAGGCGTAAAATGAAACAAACAAACAAACAAACAAAACTTCAAGTAAATGTGACCTTGACCTTTGACTCCTTGACCCCAAAATCAATAAGGTTCATCTGCTGGTCATGACCAATCATGATACCAAGGTAGAAGTTTTTAGGCCTAAGCGTTCTTAATTTATTGATCTGAAACCGTTTTTACCTACGAGGTCAATGTGACCTTGACCTTTGACCCAAAAATCAATAGAGTCATTTAGTTATCATGACCAATCACAATAATAAGTTTGAAGTTCCTAGGCCTAAGCGTTCTTTAGTTATTAATCGGAAACCATTTTCACCTACAAGTTCAATGTGACATTGTCCTTTGAGCCTTGACCAAAAAAACAAAAGGGGTCATTTGCTGGTCATGACCAATCACCATACCAAGTTTGAAGTTTCTATGCCTAAGCTTTCTTTAGTTATTGATCGGAAACCGTTTTTACCTACAAGATCAATTTTACCTTGACGTTTAACCCCTTGACCCCAAAATCAATAGGGGTCATTTTCTGGTCATGACCAATCACCATACCAAGTTTAAAGTTCCTAGGCCTAAGCATTCTTTAGTTATTGATCGGAAACCGTGTTAGCCTACAAGATCAATGTGACCTTGACCTTTGACCCCGTGACCCCATAATCAATAGTGGACATCTACTGATCATGACCAATCACCATACCAAGTTTGAAGTTCCTAGGCCTAAGCGTTCTTTAGTTATTGATCGGAAACCGTTTTTACCTACAAGGTCAATGTGATCCTGACCTTTGACTCCTTGACCCCAAAATCAATAGGGGTCATCTACTGGACATGACCAATCACTATACCAAGTTTGAATTTCATATGCCTTAGAATTCTTTAGTTATTGATCGGAAACCGTTTTTATCTACAAAGTCAATGTGTACTTGACCTTTGACCCCAAAATCAATAGGGGTCATCTACTGGTCATGACCAATCACCATACCAAGTTTGAAGTTCCTAGGCCTAAGCGTTCTTGAGTTATTGACCGGAAACCGTTTTTACCTACAAGGTCAATGTGACCTTGACCTTTGACCCCTTGACCCCAAAATCAATAGGGATCATCTACTGGTCATGAACAATCACCATATCACGTTTAAAGTTCCTAGGCCTAAGCGTTCTTGAGTTATTGATCGGAAACCGTTTTTACCTACAAGATCAATGTGACCTTGACCTTTGACCCCTTGACCCCAAAATGAATAGGGGTCATCTATTTGTCATGACCAATCACCATACCAAGTTTGAAGTTCCTAGGCCGAAGCGTGCATTGGTTATTGATCGGAAACCTTTTTTACCTACAAGGTCAATGTGACCTTGACCTTTGACCCCAAAATCAATAGAGATCATCTACGGGTCATGACCAATCACCATACCAAGTTTGAATTCCCTAAGCAAAGCAATATACCCCGTCTTCTTTAAAAGTGGGGACATAATAATTTAATCACTCTAGTTTTTGAATTAATACAGACCTATAACTAACTTCCTCGTTTTTGCTAATTTGTTTCTTGTTCCTTTGTTTTCTTGCAATGGAATTCTTTTTAATGGCATGCCAACATTTGGCCTCGAAACGTCGTTCGTGAACTTTAGTATTTGTTGAGCGGCTGATTGAATAGTCTGAACGGGATCGCTTGTTTCACTGAACGGTCCTTCAATCTCACCATTTACCATTCGGACTTCAAATATATATTTTGTGTCAGATTTTAAATTGCCCAAATTGACTTTACTACTGGTCATTAATTCTTGATGTAATTTCCATTTTGACTTTACTTGAACTTCTTTGTACCTGAGTTGGTACATATAATTTTCATACAGTTCTTTTGGTGGTTCCCAAGCCAAACAGACTGAGTCAACATGAACATTTCCAGCTGCACAAGGTTTTCCTGGTTTATTACATAGTTCCTATAAAAAGATTGACAAAGAATATGAAAATTTGAAAAAAACAAATATATAGTTTTTCAATGTTGAAACTATGGCGAATACCTTATAAGAAAGGAATGGAATGCTTTTATATATTCCACACTTTTATAAGGATTATAACTAAGTTAAAAAAATACAGCTATTAAATGATGTTCGCAGAAATAGGTTAAAAATATGTTCTATCCTTAACGTAAATCCTTTCTATAATACAAGTGCCAAACTCCTTTCTGAAAATTTAAAACACGTAAATGATCAAATCTTTTGACGCCCCCACTAACAACATATATATTGTATATAGTGAAAAAACCAACAAAGGGCCATAATTCTGTTAAATTTGGTCGCAGAAAAAAATTCCTACCTTTTCTGCCATCTATACATTAAGGTTGTTCATCCCCGGAAGTTTAAGCAAAATCTGCCATCCGGTTTAAGTGGAGTTTCGTTCACAAAATTTCTATATGGTATATAGTGAAAAAAGCAACAAAGGGCCATAATTCTGTTAAATCTGGTTGCTGCAAAATTCCTACCTTTTCTGCCATCTGCACATTAAGGTTGTTCATCCCTAGAAGTTTAAGCAAAATCTGCAATCAGGTTTAAGAGGAGTTGCATTCACAAAATTTCTACATAGTATATAGTGAAAAAATCAACAAAGGGCCATAATTCGGTTAAATTTGGTCGCAGCTAAAATTCCTTCCTTTACTACCGACTACGCATTAAGGTTGTTCATCCCTGGAAGTGTAAGCAAAATCTGCCATCCGGTTTAAGAGGAGTTGCGTTCACAAAATTTCGGGACGTATGGACGGACAGACGTACGGACGAACAAGTGCAACGCTACATGTCCCCCACTTTGTCGGGGCATAAAAAGTAATGTTGATCTTTATATAAAGTGTATCTCAACCTTCAAAGTATCAACAAAGAGGACAATTTTCACATAATTTTTATCTTTAAATTGTATATGTAAATGTACTATGTAACAACATAGTACATATATTTGTATCTTGTTTATTCCGTACATGACTCTTTCTAGTGTTGTATTGTAAATTTGATAACTGTATTTAAAAGTTATTTAGCCATTTTGCTTAGTTTTTGGTCACGGTTTACCCGAATTCACATTTGGCCTAGAAATCATAAAAAAGACGTGTATGACATCTTTTCGGAAATTTTGGCTGTAAATATAACATTTAGAGAGCTTTAACAAGGTTTTTAAATATTTTGCTCTAAGACTTAATTTTTGACCTAAGATTACCCATCTTCTAAATTGAACAAGAAATCATTTAAGCATCATTTCTTTCTAACACATTTCAAGGTTATGTTTCTGACTGAGAAATGTGACCTGTGAAGTGTTTACAAGGTTCTTTTTCAACATTTGGGCTGTGATCTTGTGACCTTGCTATCCTACTCTACCCTACCCACTACCGTTGATGTCAAATCCCAACCTATCTACCGTTAGTGTCAAACACCTCGCGGGATAAAAGAAGGAAATTAAACATGTTAAAAGCAGGGGGTGAGAAACAAGGGTGAGATATGTTCAACACCACACTTTCTTGTTGATCTTGTTGCAAGCTATGGCTGCACTAAACTGCCCTGGAATGGGGAGTAGGGCAACTGCAGGGTAAGCTTGTTCCAGTGGTATACCGTCCTAGGAAAGAAGGAGAATTGATAATAGTCTGAAGTTTCTGTAAGTAACCTATAGCACGAGGATGACCATGGCGTGATGATCGGGAGAGGGGTGTGACATATTCTTCTATGTGGATAGCAACTCGACCTTGGTGAATCTTAAAGAAATAGATAACATAGTATCTGTACGTCTGAGTTCCAGTTTTCGAAGTTTAAGGGGGTAAAGCATGTCAATGACGCTAAAAGTCTAAAGATCCATACTGCTGCTCTTCTTTGGACATTTTCAATTCGATCTGTTTGTAGTTGGTGTGGGAGACCATACCTTGGAACCATATTCAAGCTGGGGTCTGACTAACGTCGGGTAAGCAAAAGACTTAATGGATTGGGATTTTACCATTATGTATCTGCTTAGGAATCCTAATGTTTGGTTTGCTTTTCTGTATGTCCTGTTTTATGTGGGCATCTCTAGTAAGGTTTTCTGATATATCCACGCCTAGTTATGTAGCTGAGGTAACCGATTCTAATTGGAAACCATGAAGGTAGTATACCGGCTTGGGCGATACTCAACTCCCAACACTTAAAAGTGCTGGACTCAATGAACACTTAATTGAAGTACGGGCCAACTTTTTACGTCTGTCACACATTACTTGACACATGCCTTGTGAAGTATAAAAATCTGGAAACAAGTTGATCCTTTGGAAGCATTTAGACACACCAAAATGACATGAAAATTGCCTCTATCACATCAGTCGAACAAAATTTGGTTAGTAAGATTTGTAGAAAAATTAATGCCGAAGAAAGGTCGCAGACAATTTCGCAATCTATCTCGACAGATTTGTATATCGTTAGACAGAAGTACGCTGTTCATACGGCGGCCGGATTGCTTGCACGATATTTAAGGTTGAAAGTAGGACAAAAACGAACAGCATTTTGTACGGTCATCGCAAAAATGACCGCGCAACAGACGTGCGATTGTTAAGACAGTCGTAAGGCAATCATGCGAAATTAAATTTTCAACAGATTGAAAACAAATCGTGCAGTGAATTTCTCAAACCGATTTATTCGTAGTTTCCACGAGTTAAGCCTGCAGGTTATATGAAGTTGAACACTTTAATGCCTTTAAGAATGCCCAAAGACGTAGTTCAGTGAAAGCCCTGTCCCATATCAACCAAGTTCCTAAAAAGTTTGTCAAACTAAACCCATTAAAAGAAATACAGTCTTTTTATCTTTACAACCCAATAGGAGATATATTCTTTAGAATATGAACGGCACTTGGCCAAAAACTTACAAGCAGAGTGACATGAGGCAACCTCAATTGATCTGTGAAGAATGATATAGAATGGAGACAAGCCCCGATTCAATGGAAAGCCAAAACAAAATAAAATCGTCTGTTATATATCATTTGCTGACTTTAACTATGTATTATGAAAATATTCATAATTCACCGTGTAGGCTATTGTCATTAAAATAAAAAATGATAAAAGGGAAACAATCGCCAATTATTTTGCTAAAATTTTATTCAAAATTCGTTTCATAACTTTATCAGTCAATCAAGCCCGTACGAAAGATATGATCATTTATTTTGGCAACACCACATTATTTTTCTTCATGATTCATATTATGGTCTCATTGGCCTCTACACCAAAACATTAAACATCATAAGAAACGGCTATCGTATTATTCAAAGAATGAATAAAATCAAAACGAAAGGCTACCTATTGGCAGATTATAATCTTTAAGAACATAAATGGCGACTTGTCCGGGGTCTGTACTCTAAGTGCCTGTAACGGTGGATACATACATGCAAACATACATACATACAAATATACATACATACATACATACATACATACATACATACATATGTACATACATACATACATACATACATACATACATACATACATACATACATACATACATACATACATATATACATACATACATACATACATACATACATACATACATACATACATACATACATACATACATACATACATACATACATACATACATACATACATACATACATACATACATACATACATACATACATACATACATACATACATACATACATACATACATACATACATACATACATACATACATACATACATACATACATACATACATACATACATACATACATACATACATACATACATACATACATACATACATACATACATACATACATACATACATACATACATACATACATACATACATACATACATACATACATACAATACATACATACATACATACATACATACATACATACATACATACATACATACATACATAACATACATACATACATACATACATACATACATACATACATACATACATACATACATACATACTAAAACATACATACATACATACATACATACATATTTATCATGGCTTCCTCAACTTTGCATAATGGCTCGGTTTACTGTTTGTTAAGATGTTTATTGACCTACTACTTTTGGCTTAAAATTCTATTCTGTGGCGGAAATTTCTAGGAGTTCAATAATCACCACTTTGTAAATAAGCCTTTAAGGGAATGACTGACGACTAGGTTGTATTCCTGTCAACGAAAGCTATTTTTTGTGACTTAACGGGCGGTTGGATCCCGTTTAATACAAACTGCTATTACTAATCTTTAACTGATCCGAGAATTGTTTGTTCAATTTGCCACGCCGATATAAAGGAAAAACCTTACCTGCACTAAGGCCCAAAATAGAAATAGCGGAGCTAGACTCAGTGTATGCCGCACTCACAAAACACTCAAGCATCATAGTGAGCAACATACATGCCAACATTAACATATGTAAACTTGTAGTTGAAGTCTACCAAGTCTATTTGTAATCGTAGCTGACGCTCTTTGACCTCAGCGGAGCTTGTGCCCCTACATGTATGCAGTGATGGAAGATCCATTGACTTGAGAAACCCTCCTTCTCTACTTCCACTCCCCTTCCGTAGTTGGAAATTTGAATGCTCCTCATGAAAGTGCTTATATATGTCCTGACATACCTCTTGCGAAACTTTGGTTTTGTGGGCCACTCTGATCCCACATGACAAGTGAAAATCCCCAGTGGTAAGGTACCTGAGCATGATAGGAAGCTTCAATAAGGTGGACATTTGGAGTTTGTTTTTCTCTTTTCATGTTCAGGGCCTATATCTTCTATCATTATGCTGAATGACTCCTGGGTAACACTAACAAAGTTTTTGAAAGTATTTTCATCACTTTCTCTAAGATGCTTCATTAGCTTCTCTTACATCCCATATCTAGGTCCCATCACAAGTCATTCTCTCATCCATTCACTCCTTCATTTCTTGATCTTCTTTTTCTTTTCTTTCTAGCTTTATTCGTGGGTTTTTGTACCACAGCAGTAGTAATAAAACAACCTGCAGTCTTCAGCATAACATTGTCGTCTGAAATCCAATGGTAGATCCATCTCAAATGATGTCTGACTGCTGAAATTCGAGTTTGCTTTCATTTTTGTCTGACTTTTGTAATTTTTTATTGCATTTCATAACTGTCGTGCGATTTTCGCATACAATTCGCGAGTGTTTCGCAAGTACAAAAATTTTGCAAACTTGCAAAAGAGATGATAAAAAGTTCTCGTGCGATAGTCGTGAGATATAACTTTATGAGATATGCGTGACACATTCGCGCAACATTTGGGCGACATACGCATTCATGTCGTTGATATAAGGATCGAGTTTTGTAAATGTGGCTAAAGTTTATGTCTAAAACAACTCGCAAGGTGTCGCAATTCAGTGTGACAGTACCTTAAGGCTGGTGTGATAGAGGGCAAAACAAATTTTGAATTCTCTAATAATTTTCAACACATTGCAGGCACACATTACAAGTTATAAGCGGTACATAGGTTTTGCTGAGTGTTACGCCTGAAGCAAATGAGAAGTGTTTAGAAACCAATGTGTAGTCAAATAATTTTTATGATTTGCAAAATGATAATTTTCTTATGTACAGACTCAATCAAACCGAGCCTGCAATTCAATTCTTATGTAATTTTGTTGTGATTATGCTTAAGGGATCACTTTGTTTCCAGATTTATTTTTTTGCAACAAAAGTTAAGATTAAATTTCTTTTACCATTCCTTTGATGGAACCTGTTTTCATATAGGCTGAGGTTGATGCTTCATCGCTGAAATACAAACAAGAAGTATCCTGAAGGAAGATGTTTAACTGTGGTAAATCTAGTTTAAATAGTTTGCGTTATTTCTAAGCCAGTTCTAAGTTGTATTCATTGAACGCCGCCTTTCCTTGTTGATCATGTTTATCATATTTTTGCGTTATTTCTAAGTCGTCGGATTATATTATAATCTATTATAAAGTACAAATAAAGTATTAGACCTTTAACAAAAAATCAATTTGCTATAAACACAAAAAATTTATTTCGGATTTTGACCTTGATTAAAGTTTTCAAGTGTAATATTGTTTTACAAATATTGTTCGCGTGGTCATTTATATCTATTTATTTTTTCAATAAGTCATTTTCTGTAGATATGCCATTAAAAACTTATAATTGTAACAAAATTATCATTTTTCGAAATGTCGCTGGTGAGGGACGATTCTATGCTGCTGACAGAAATTATTAAAATGTCCTTTAATCAAATTACACGGAAAACACTGCTCGTATTTCATTTCGAAAAGCGTAGCAACTTTCACAATGATAAACTGAACTATGTCAAAGGAAGTGATGCTGAAATTAGAATGCTTTCGGCTAAATTTATTATTGCACTGCACCTTTTATATATTAAGAAAGTATCTCGAACCTATTTGTCACTTGGATATTTACAAAAGTAAAAAAGTTTATGTCAATCAAGAGATCAGCAGAAATATCTAGTGAAAGTGGGATAATCTTCTATGAAGTCATTATATAACAATATCAATTTTATTTTTCGGGCATTCTTCTCCGTTAATGTAGAATTTCGTATGCTGTTTCTATGCAAGACTATATCATTCGGCTACAAAGCAGTCGAGTCTTTTAGAACTTTGAATAAGAAGCATGATTAACTGCGAAATGACACGTTTAACTTTGCGATTCGTCGATAAAAACAAATGTATATAAAAACATTCACACTAATTAGCATTACACTTCAAAACCATTTTAAGATTTCTTGCTTTGTTGCAAAACATTGTTATTTACATTTTCCTCAAACGGAAAGACAATGTTTTCTTATCTCCGTATCCAAATAACAGACTGTGAAACTGTCTGTACATAGTGTAAAGATGTGATATCGTGGAACCAGGCTAAAATTAAATCATGCCTAAACATGTTTCATCTATAAATAGCAAAGGTAAACATGAAGAATGTGCTGTGTGTGTGTGTGTGTGTGTGTGTGTGTGTGTGTGTGTGTGTGTGTGTGTGTAGGTGCGTTTGTGTGTGCGTGCGTGTGTGTGTGTTTTATTGTAGTTTTTATTTATTTTTTTATTTGTATTTTATTAGATAAACGGGTCTATTGCCTTTAATGACTTATACATAAACCGGTACTATTTCATGTTAAAATTTGATTTTTTTTATTGTTGGCCATTTGCTTATCAAACGTTTAGATATCGTTTATGTGGTCACAAAGGTAATAATGTCCAAGGCATTAGGAATTAGGATAAGCCATAACGAGCGTCTCAGCTCTGTCTATATATGGATAAAATACATGGTGTCGGATTTCTGGCAAAATACGACTATGACTAAGGGGTACCCGTCGTGTAACAGAAAAAAAGAGTACAATGAAATTTTCGTGTCGTTATGCTTCCCCTTTAAATTCAACAACTGCTCAGATCTTAACAGACATTCGTCTACGTAGCAATGTTTCGCTATTCTAAACTTTTGCAATGCACATCTGACCATTCGTTCGCAGCCATTTTATGCGTGCGTAAAACCTCATTTGTATATATATATAATTAAGGTATTAGGACCCTAATGGGCACTATCAGGAACTAAAGAATTATAACATCATAGGTCAGATGTATACCTTAAAGTACACCTGTATGCAAAATTTAAACAAAGTTTACCGTACGGAAATCAAGTTATGGCCACTTTTCTGAACTCAAGCTAGGATGTTATGAGGGCCCTTTTTTTAGAAATGAGGAACCTTTAAATAATTTGCAATAACATTCTAATGAAAAATGTTTTCCCATGAATTTTTGGTAAGAAACAAATAGTACCATTCAGCTAACAATCCACATAAGCAAAATTATGGTTTCTACTTAAAATTTATGAAATCTGTATATAAATGTTACCCTACCCCACCCATTTTTACCACATGTCTGACCAATTTTTTGCTTAGGGAGCCTAATTCAAAAAAATCTTAAAATTTACCCAAATGAGTGCCTGTTTTCAAAGTTTCCCTAAATTTTTAAAAAAGTATATTGGTTGATCTTGAAAAATATGAAATACTTTTACCGTCTAGTTTTGATTATATTACACTTTGAAAATATCAATATAAATATAAATACCATATTTATTACTAGATTTAGCATAATTTAGCCAATGAATACTTATATAAATTAAAAATTCAAAATTAAACACTTTTTTCTTTCCGTATGGGACATGAGAGATACATAAATAATGTTAAAAGATAAAAAGAAAGAAAAAAAAGTTGACCCTTCTGGGGATTGAACCCATGGCCCTCATTTTCAATGTAGTTAAGAGTAATTCTAGCCTATTTGAATACTCTTCAAAGCGGATGTAATGCATTAGGGTGCTAATACCTTAAGATAACGTTTTAAAGTTCTCCCAAATAATCCAGCGTCTTATTCAGACTTTACCTTTATATTACATGACACAATACAATTTGGTCAACACATTTTTCTACATGTAGCCACTTTAAGTACCCAGACTGTCATAGGCCAACATGAGTCAAGCAGAGTCCATATGCAGGACAAATTTAACCAATTTATTTTGGATTGTTTTAAATTCCACCTTTGCGCAGCTTTTTGATCCTTAAAAAGCAGGAAATACAAGTTAAATTAAATGGGGTTTGCATTTTAGCTGTAACAAGATATCTTCTTAGCATATGTAGTGTCAAAAACTGACTTTTCCTGTAAAGAAACTTCAACCTTGCATTAGCTTTACACATTTACATACTTAATTGATTTTAGAATGATATAATTACCATGATAGCAAGATATATTCGTGCTTGACCGAGACCTTAATTTTCGTTCAATGGCCAAAGTTTGCCTCTATGCAGATATTACTAAGTCTTATTACAAATAAGCAACTTATTGACAGTTTCCAATCGCTACGAGGTACAGGTTTAAATATGACTTTTACTTTAATGTGTGACCAAAATTCCAGATCCAGCAAAATGTTAAAGTAACTTTCTTTTTTTAAAAGAGTTGATATTTTCATAGATTAAAACTAAAAGATGTCCTTAATACTCATACTAGCTAGAGAACATGTGATACATCAATAAGTTGGTACCTATCACAGAATCCATGTCATCTAACTTCGTCTTGTCTAGGCCCAAGAGCCTCTTTTTCATAAATAAATTAACTTTGTCAACTATGTCGAAAGCTTTCCGCATGTTAATCATTATCATCCTAACAAGATTACCAAAAGCCATTTTAAATGACCGAATAGGGTAATGAGACATGTATTTGTTGAAATTACGCTCAACAATTAACTAGATTATTTTGATCATGTAAAATTCTTTCCTTTTCTTTCATATATGAATAATGCTAAAACTTGACACAGGACGATAGATACCATTTTTTTTAATACTGATACGCTATATCTGCCAATATATACAGGATATTTTTATTTGTGTGTAAGATGAAATTTTATTTCATCAAAAGAGAATACTGTTTTTAAAGTTCACGAGATGAAATAAAATTATATCTTACACAACAAATAAACAAACAAATTTTCTGCTTAAAAACAAGTTTAAATAAAATTTCCTCAATATTAACAATAATATCAAAATTTGTTTTCCCCACTGGTAGCCTCATTTAAGTCGAATTTCTCATAAAAACAAAAAGTCATGAGCTAAAAAATTAGTTCGACAATCAACGTTAAATGGCGATACTATTATTTCCATTTCTTAAAGTTGTGTGTTTCACAGGAGGTAAATAATTGTGTTTGATTCAGAAGGCTAACATTTGGATTTGTTAGTCATGCATCTTTTTATAAGAAAGAAAACTTATTTGAGGATTGTTTCAGACAATAAATAATTGTTGACAGATGTGTTAACATTCAGAAAGCGGCTAGAAATAAGAAAAACATGGAATTGTTGAAAGGCTGTCTTAAGCAAGCTATGTTGTTTTACTTATTTTTCGGGCTGATGACTGTCATTGCTTTTCAAGTTTTCATATTTCATTAGGCGGTTATTGCTCATAGGATACTGAAATATGCACACATGTCATCAAGAGCAGTTTTGCATGTGGAAGGAAGTGTATTTTCTAGACTGAAAAAATGAAACAAAAGATTTAGAGACGATATTTAGTGATTGGTAATGAATTGAATGAACTGAAGTAAGTCTTTTTCTTTTTATTACTTTTGGAAATTAAGTTATGTACCAATTTCAGCTTTGCTTTCCTCTAAAATCCCCTGACAATGTCCGAATTGTCAACAGAAATAAAACTTAAATACCACATGGGAATCTCTTTAAAAAGTAGGACGAGCAGCGTCATTGAAAAGTGTAAAATTATATTTTGATATTCTTCACTGTGAAATTAACAAATATGATTTCACGGATGAATCAGTCATCCACCCAAAAGCATAAAATAAAATGTTTTAATTTTTATTTCCCACTATTTGACGCACATTTTATGTTTAATAACAATTCAATTTACGATGTTTTAAATTTCAAATTTCGAGGACATTTATTTTGCATTTAATCTAAACAGTTAAAAAGTGAATATCTAGGGGGCAATAAATTTAGTTCAAATAGAAAGTAAAAAATGAAAGAATATCAGTAAATCTGAAATATGGAAAGGTATAGTAAACATCTTTAGAATATTGGTTTTTCTTACATTTGCAAAGTACAAAGGTATTATTTTTTCTTGGCGTAGTATTACCTCTTGGTTGCGGCACCGACAACGTCTTCAGATGTACTTGAAACAGGTAATTTTCTACATTGTGATTCATCCTCATTTTGTCCAGTTGTGTTCTGATCAGTGTCATTCTAAAATAAAACATTACTGACTGTAAATTTTAAAATGACTACATTTGAATCCTGTTTATTAAAACATGTTAATTGAAGTCTTCAATAATGAAAGTAAAAAGAAAACAGGAAATAACGTGATCCCTAGGAAGCATTAATCAGAACTGAACTGAATTACATAAAATTGCAGACTCGTTTTGATTAATTCTGTACATAAGGGATAATGAATAAGTGCAATCCCTCACCCCACAGCACCGACTTGAGTGGTACTCAATTCTCAACACTTTACATTAATAGTGCTGGTATTTATGATACCAGAAGGACCAGAAAATTATAATTACACTGAAGTGAAGTACAGGGCAATGTTTTACAGCTGCCAAAGGGCACTTGACACCTGCTGGTGTGAAAAAATCTGGAAACAAAGTAATTCCTCGAAAGCATTAATTACAACAAAATAAAGTCAAGTAGACAATAAATTCCGTTTTATATTCTTAGATTCGATAAATGTATTTAAACCAAGAACTTAGCAAATAGTTTTATTTAGAGTTTGTACAATTACATGTTAATGATTTTGTAAATGTTTAACATATTGATTTAAGGGAATATATGTCCGTTATATGAAATAGTCATAAAATAAGCAAGTTCTGGCTTTAATTGTGTTTAATCTTTGTTAAACATGCAACATGATAAACATATATTTAAAAAATAGAGGCAGCAAATCTGATTGTTCGTTATATTGTTAAAGACAAAGAATTCAAAACCCAAGTACGAAAATTATGGATACGCCTTTTCTAGTTGACACATTTTAACTGGGTGGTGATATCGTCGGAGTTTTTGCAAGGCGCGCATGGAATCAATGCAATATTTTTTTTTCTATCAAAACTGACTATGAACATACGTTACTAAACACAGTAAAGCCCGATAGTTAATAATCGTCAAAATAAAAAAAAATATGTTCTAAAAAATTATTGTTATCTGTCATTCAGTTACCCAATGGACAGACAGCCTATTGAAACCTTGACAAAACAGATGTAGCCGGTTATTTATAACTAGCTTATAAACCAGCCATATAGATACTTACTTTTAGACTTACAGCCTACATCACAAGGAGCATTGTGTTTATGCAAAAACCTATTTGGTATTAAAGAAGCAAAAACTGATCCAAAGTACTATTCAAAGGAGATTTTCAAACTGTGAGGACGTATTTCATAGAACACATCAGAAACAATAATTCAAAGGACGATCAAAGCGATGGTACAGAAAGGATACAAGGTAATCAATCAACGGAACAGTTCTTACTTGTAAGTATTTTTAAAGATCTAATAGAGAAAACGTTTAAGATTTAACGTACTATTTAACGTATTTATTTGTTTATTTTAAGGCAAAATGAAAGAATTCAGTTGTCTACATTGCCCTTTCTCTTAAAAAAATAAATCGACAACACTTTTATTAATAATTTGGACATACAAGAAGAACAAAAGCTTAAAATACAAATTTCTCAATTTGACAACAATAAAAGAAACATCAAATCATACTCCAAGGACTTTAGAATGATTCCAAAAGAACTAAAAAATTAAAAAGCACTTTAAAACCAAACGATATTACAAAAATTGTAAAAGTTTCAAGACAATAGGAACAATCTCCAATCAAGAAATTTCCAAAAATCAAAATCCCTGTTAAAGATGTTCACACTTTTTTATAGTTCAAATGCCAAAAATTTATTAACGATGCATATGAAAAAGATGTTTTTGATTGAAAAATATCTTCAACCGAAACAGATCCATGTTTTTTTAGTCTCATTTGAAGAAAATGATTTAGATTCAATAGAAAACATCATTCAGCAAATGCCAAAGGTTTTAGACTGCTTGAAGTCAGAAAATCAAATTGAAATGTATATAAAATGTACCAAATTACTCGCCCATAGGAAGATTTTTTTTATCAAATATAGCCTTTTAATATTTTGCTGATGTAGTAGAATGGGTTTCACTGGACAAGGAACTGGATTTATATGCATCTTTTGACTTAAGGTAACTATAGGCAATGATAAACTTTGTGTGAATAGAAAACAGTCAAGTTACCTTAGACTTTAAACTAACATTAAACTTAACTTAACTTAAATAAGTGGAAATAAACTTGTCAGAGTGAAAACTACCTTTTAGACATTTAACACCAATATGCATGAAACGCCTTTAAGCATCAGACCTCCTAAAGAAAAAATGTTCATATTTTAACATAATTGCTTTAAAAAAAACAGTTCGCTTTTCCACCAACGGGAAATACTTCCTTTTATTATTCTACGGAATTCTTTCATCCGGGTTTTTTTCTAGTATCACGTGATCGTACAGGACAATATCGCGACCTGTGCTCCGGAACGCACGGAATCCGGGATTTTGTCAAACATATAGGGATACGAATAACTGCTTTTGTTTTTATTTTTGTAGTAATTCATGGCACTAAAAATTATAATTGATTAATTATTTCATATATAGGATGACCAATTAGCCGATTTAACCTTAAGCTTGAAATGAGATAGGGGCCTTCTTACTTACGAAAATTGATAAACGATCCCGGGCATACCGGAAACCGGGATTTTTACGGATCACTGTTGTGACACGTGACCGCGTTAAAAAATTATCTTCTATTTATATTGGCTACCGCGTTAGTAACGTAGTAGATAATGGAAAAGAAAATCCGATATATTAACGTTTTTGTCAACATTCTTTCTTAAGTTAAGGTGTCATTAATGATGGATTTATACAATAAACCTGACTAGATCAGTAATTACAATTTACCTGAAATTTTATTTCATTTTTTATCATTTTACCATCTTAGTGGCTTTAAAATTGATTAAGAGTAATTCTAGAAAGTGAAGGCATTTCTGAGAATATTAAAACGGTGTTTTAAATAGCATAGGGAAATCAACTCAACGGCAGCTTTTAAAATGTTGAAATTAGTAATCTGCTAAAAAATGATGTGATGATCTTTCGAGGAGGATTGATACGTGACGTTCAAGTGAAAACTCACAACAATGCAGTTGAACTAAATAGTAGAAACGTTGATTTATGTTATAGCTTAGCTTTATATCTTTCCAAAGAAAAATGAATGGTAATTGAAGATGAAATTTGTTAGTTGATAATTCCTATCAAGAAATAATTTTCTTTCTGATTCGTATCACCAGCTACTTCAGGCTGGTATTTCCATAGACAGTGGAAACATGATGAAGCTCCTTAAATGTGCCATGCTCTTGTGACAAGGAAAATAAAATATGTATCTACCCTGCTGAGTTAAGGTAAACAAATGGCAAGCAAAAAATTGTCACATATAAAAATCAAGGACTTCCAGACTACGGGACCGGGGAGAAACATGAGATACCTGGGATTTGAACTCCAGACCTCTCGCTTTCTAAACGAGCGCGTTACCCCTCGACCAAGGTGATTTTATAAGAAAAAAGAAAAACCATATTATTCTAAATTAGGTTTGTAACCCTTATTAATATCGAGATATTTTGTTCACGGTTGATGATAGGAAAATGACAGTTCTGTCCCAGGGATAAGGGATAAACTATTTTTAGAAAAGTGGAATTCCACGTATTGCTATATTCGGACGGTTTTTTTACCTGCATAATGTTATTTTTTGTCTAACAAGTTTGAACATGTCTTCGCTTAAAAAGTCAACAGGGACGATAAAGAGATACAAAATAGCTTATGTTTAATTTAGCGTGAAGCTGCACACGCCGTCACCATGATAAAGCTATTAAAATAAATATTTTTCTACCTGATTTATATAAAACAGCGTGTATCTTTTTTATCTGTCATTTTATGAAAATGAGTTGGAAAGATCACTTGCAAAATATTGACTTTGACTTGCATAGTCCTATAAGTTATGCAGCACCACTATATTTTGAGACCAACAAGTTTGAACGTATCTACCTTAAAGGTTCAATAGGTTAATATTATAGAAGACGACAAGGGATATAAAATAGCTGATGTTTAATTTAGCGTGAAGCGGCACCCGCAGTCACTATGAGAAAGGTGTTAAAATAAACATTTCACTATCTGATTTATACAAAACAGCGTGTATTTTATGAAAATGAGTTGGAAAGATCACTTGCAAAATATTTACTTTGACTTGCATAGTCTAATAAGATCTGAAAAAATCTACAAATTTTTGAAGAAGGAGGCTAAATACAAAGTCGGTATTCACGCTATTCGATAGTATTTACAGAATGTGGATGCTTACAGAGACCACTGCATTATAAATTTAAGACTAGAAAAGTAATATCTCAAGGCATAGATTTTCTCTGGGACATTGACTAGGCAGATGCTTCTAGTCTGTCAAAAGAAAATGACCAAACCAAATACCTGTTTGTCGCCATAGACGTATTCTCTCGCTATTTATAGGCTGTGTCGTTAAAGAATAAACAACACGGTTCTATAATAGACGGCTTTAGAGAAGTACTGAAGTCAGGACGTAAACCAAAAGAAGTGAGAACGGACCCAGGAAGTGAATGGAAAAACAAATGGGTGAAAGCATACCTCGATAAACAAGAAATCCATCACTACGTGACTCAGAATATAAATCACGCTAATTATGCCGAAAGAATGATACGCACTTTAAAGGTGTTGATGTATAGATATTTCACTCATAAACGTACTTATCATTATCTTGACCGAACAAAGTAAAGAATTACAATTCAAGATCGCATTCTTCTTTGGACGGGAAATCTCCCAATGGAATTTCTGCAAAGAATGAAGTAAACATATGGAAGATGCTTTATGTGGATTCTTTGAAACTGCAGAGTATCAAAAGGAAACATCAGCAATCTAAGTCATTCAAATTCAAAGTCGGTGACTTTGTCAGAATTTCTAGTAACAGACGCACATTTCAGCGAGATTACGAGCAAAAGTGGACTGAAGAAATCTTCATTATAAGAAGGAGATATCTACGTCAAGGTATAGCCGTATACAAAGTAGTGCATTATGAAGGGGATTCTGTGGAGGGGACCTTCTATTCCAGTGAATAACAAAAGGTGCAGAAGAGTCGCAATGATCTTTTCAAGGTTAAAAGAGTGTTGAAACGCCGGAGGATAACTAGAGTTACTGAGCTGTTTGTGAAATGGTTGGAACATCTCAAGAAGTTTAACCAGTGTATCAAAGAAAGTAACCTACCAGATATCTGAAACAACTACATATAATAGAGGTGCATTGTCATCTTATTCATTTCACTTTGAGCTGTGGACCTGTCAATATCGTCAAAATGACTAACCAGTATTATCTATGCCATAAAAACTACATCTGGGAACAGGACTTGAAAAGACATTTCAAAACTAAACATCCAAAGAAAAAGTATATGTTCAAGCAGCAGCAGAAGCAGCAGCAGTAATCTAACAACGAAAGTCTTCCGCATCAGCATTATATGAGATATACCATACAACAGCAGCAGCAGCAGCAACAGCAGCAGCAGCAGCAGCAGCAGAAGCAGCAAAATAACAACGAAAGTCTTCCGCAGCAGAATTATTTGAGAGATACCCTACAGCAGCAGTAGCAGCAGTAGCAGCAGCAGCAGCAGGAGTTCAAGTTTCAACATCCTTTAACATGTATAATATTTGGACCCACGTCTAGTAGTATGTATACCTATTTATTTTGTTATTCGTTTTTTATGTGCAGAATTTATTATACTCATATAATGACTCATCTGAAATAATGGATTTATCTTTTTTTTTTTCATTCCTAGGGAAAACCTACTTCGTAGTCCAATTGCTACAGCGAGCCTCAAATAAAATACAGCCGACACCGCAAAGAATCATTTGGTTGTATAAAAGGTGGCAACCACTCTACGATGTGATCAAGAAAACCGTAATTCCAAAAGTAGAGTGCGTCCAAGGTGTACCTTTACATTTGGAAAAGGAAGACTTTGACACAAGTATCAGAAACCTTATTATCTTGGACGATATGGCATCGGAAGCTGCGAAAGATCAACTTGTTACAGATCTCTTTACAGAAGGCAGTCATCATAGGAATCTATCAGTGATCGCTCTGAACCAAAACTTGTATTTCAACAAGGAACCAACACAACGCAGAAATTGTCATTATTTGGTAATATTCAATAACCCGGTAGATAGACTGCCTATTGCAACCCTGGCTAGACAGATGCACCCCTCTAATTTTAAAGAAGTGATAAGATATTTTGACAGCGCTGTAAGTCAGCCTTACGGATATTTACTTCTAGACTTTAAACCAACTACACCGGAAGCAATGCGTATGCGCACTAATATATTTTGTATAAAAGAAGGTTCAACGGATCAAAACCATCATTCAAAAGGAGACATTCAAACTGTGCGGACGTATTTTCCGGAGCACATCAGAGAAAAAAGTTCAGAAGAAAATCAGACCTTTCCTACAGAACCAAATCAGGCTCATTCAATCAACGAAATAATACCGGCTTTTGTTGACTGCGGTGTTATGTTTGAAAACGTACACGATCTTCAAAATTATGTAAAACGTTGGTGTCCTGTGCAATAATCACTGAAGCGTGAACTTTAAGACGAAGATGTCGTTCCAGCAAAAAGGCAAAATACGTCGATGATGGAGAAAGCAGTGTCTTGGATGAAGTAAATGAAGTTTATATTGAACTTGCAGAGTTAGCCAGGAAAACAAGCATTAAAGAATGGCAAGATAAAGTACAGAAATATGAATAGCAAGGATATTCAGAAGATGAGGTAGAGGAAAAAGAAAATCAAAAACTGCGCGAAGAAGACATTAAAATTTTCATGAAGAAATATACTACTCTCTTGTCTTATATACTGAAATTGTGTGGAGGACCTCTGTATACCAAAATAATGAAGTCTGTCGAGAAATATTTACAAAATGTTGAACTAGAACGTGCCAGCCATTCGTCTGGCAGTACGAAAATACAAAAGTTACTTCGAAAAATTCCTAGAGGAGCCTTACTCTGTGGGTGTTGAAGACGACAATAGTGATGATGACGATGATGATGACAACAGTGACGGGGAAATGAGTGACATGGACACTGATGATGAAATAAACTAATATAGCGCTATTTCAAAAGATGTTAATTGTTGACAATTTTAATCAGTGACAGTGTGCTCATTTGACGCAGATATATGTGTATATTGTGTATAAAAACAAAATGTAAATAAAATGTAGAAAACATGAATGCGTGTCTTTTTGAGTTGCATCAAATTGTTTTGAAACAGCAGTCGCTTAAGGAGACGTACTGAACTAGTTAGGATCTAACCACGTTTCTAAATGTTCATAGGTTGTGTGCAGCAATCTAAGTTATTACAAATCTTACCAAATAAAATATGCATAAATTTTATGAATCATGGAGGCCACATTTATGACAGCCAAGATGTTACATAAGATCTTCCAATGTGTATACCATAAGCATTATTAGTTTAATATGAAAATATCAACCATGACAACTTGACTTGTTGAGTTATTGGTCAGAAACCATCTTAAAGTACAAGGTCAATTTGACACTGACCCCTTGACCCCAAAATCAATAGGGGTCATCTACTGGTCATGACGAATCATCATATAAAGTTTAAAGTTCCTAAGCCTAAGTGTTCTTTAGTTATTGATCGGAATGTGACCTTGACCTTTGACTCTAAAATCAATCGGGGTCATCTAATGGTCATGACCAATTATCATATAAATTTTGAAGTTCCTAGACCTAAGCGTTCTTTAGTTATTGAACGGAAACCGTTTTTACTTACAAGGTCAATGTGACCTTGACCTTTGACCCCAAAATCAATAGGGGTCATCTACTGGTCATGACAAATCATCATACCAAGTTTGAAGTTCCTAGGTCTAAGCGTCCTTTATGTATAGAGTGGAAACCATTTTCAACTTCAAGTAAATGTGACCTTGACCTTTGACCCCTTGAGCCCAAAATCAATATGGATCATCTACTGGTCATGACCAATCACCATACAAAGTTTGAAGTTCCTAGGCCTAAACGTTCGTTAGTTATTGATCGGAAACCGTTTTTACCTACAAGGTCAATGTGACCTGGAGCTTTGACCCCTTGACCTTAGAATCAATAGGGGTCATCTACTGATCATGACCAATCACCATACTAAGTTTGAAGTTCCTAGGCCTAAGCTTTCTTTAGTTATTGATCAGAAACCGTTTTTACCTACACGGTCAATGTGACCTTGACCTTTGACCCAGAATCAATAGGGGTCATCTAGTGGTCATGACCAATAACCATACAAAGTTTGAAGTTCCTAGGCCTAAACGTTCTTTAGTTATTGATCGGAAATTTTTTTTATCTACAAGGTCAATGTGACCTTGACCTTTGACCCCTCCACCTTAGAATCAATATGGGTCATCTGCTGGTCATGACCAATCACGGAACCAAGTTTGAATTTCCTAGGCCTAAGCGTCGTTCTTTAGTGATTGATCGGAAACCTTTTTTACCTACAAGGTCAATGTGACATTGACCTTTGACCCCTTGACCCACAAAATCAATAGGGGTCATCTACTGGTCATGACCAATCACCATACCAAGTTTGAAGTTCCAAGGCCTAAGGGTTCTTTAGTAATTGATCGGAAACCCTTTTTACCTACAAGGTCGATGTGACCTTGACCTTTGACCCCAAAATCAATAGGGGTCATCTACTGGTCATGACCAATCACAATACCAAGTTTGAAGCTCCTAGGCCTAAGGGTTCTTTAATTATCACTTGGAAACCATTTGGTCTACGGAACGACGGACCGACAGACAGACAAATGAAAAGCAATATACCCCCTCTTCTTCGAAGTGGGGGCATAACAAAAATGTTTAATATCCCCTGCAAATAAGAGTAGGAGATTTACGTGATGGGACATGTTTCTTTGATCCGTTATTTGAAGGGGGATATTTCAGTATGTGCTAAACAAAACACATTGATGGAAATATTATTTTGTTTTTCAAACTTTGAAATGGGTACAGGAAAGTCGATGCCGTCTACAATTAGGTCATGTTCAAACTGCTTATAGTGGCTAACGCGGTCTGGATTGTGGCTTTCTGCGTTTGTGACTGGGTGTAACGCTGCCAGAATTGACCATGTAAAACATTTTTTTAAATCATTTTTTATATTGAGTACCACTATTTTGTCTTGTATTTTCTTTGGTAAAGGAATGTAACTACTCCCTTGTAATGGTACGTACTCAGCATTGCTTAGTTCGAGTTTTATTATACTATCAATTGTCCATCCACTCCCATCCCTTTCAAAATTTTGAAAAGCGTTGTGTAGGTCTTGAATTGCCCCAGCGATTTGTTGTTCTATTTGCGACATATTAGTCATGCCAAAAGTGAATGAACGAAAGACGGGTAAATTGGGTCATTTTTTGGTCATATTTAACAAATTCTACAACCATTTCATACCTTTCATTTTTTCGAAGCGTGTCATAAGCATATTTGATATGGATATTTCGCTGTCTTTTAAAAATATCTTATATCTTATCTTATATTCTGAAATGTTTAATACTACGGAAGCTTATCAGGGCCTCCACTTATCTAAACGTTTCACGTCATGTCAACTTGTCTC